GGGGGGGGGTGGGGGGCGGGGCCGTTTTTTATTCCGTCCTTCCCGCGCGCCGCCGCGCGTGACGTCACGGGTCACGTGACCGCCGGTCACAGCCCGATGGTGTAGGAGCGGCCGCTGGGGTTGTGGAGGGCGGAGCACGCCGGTGACGTCACCGCCCACTCGTACCACACCTTGCTGGGCGTGGCCACGCGCCAAAACGCCACCGACACTTCCTGCCCCGCCCGCACCGGCACCGGCTGCTGTGGGGGGAGGGGAAGTGGGCGTGGTCAGCGGGGACACGCCCACCAAAATGGCCGACGGTGGGCAAGGGAGTGGCCACGCCCACCAAGATGGCCGACGATGGTTGTGTGGCCACGCCCACCAAGATGGCTGACAGTTAAGGGAGTGACCACGCCCACCAAGATGGCCGACGATGGTTAATGGAAGTGGCCACGCCCACCAAGATGGCCGACGATGGTTAAGGGAGTGGCCACGCCCACCAAGATGGCCGACGATGGTGAAGGGAGTGGCCACGCCCACCAAGATGGCCGACGATGGTTAAGGGAGTGGCCACGCCCACCAAGATGGCCGACGGTGGTTAAGGGAGTGGCCACGCCCACCAAGATGGCCGATGATGGTTGTGTGGCCATGCCCACCAAGATGGCCGATGATGGTTGTGTGGCCACGCCCACCAAGATGGCCGATGATGGTTGTGTGGCCACGCCCACCAAGATGGCCGACGGTTAAGGGTGTGGCCACACCCACCAAGATGGCCGACGGTGGGCAAGGGAGTGGCCACGCCCACCAAGATGGCCGACGATGGTTAAGGGTGTGGCCACGCCCACCAAGATGGCCGATGATGGTTGTGTGGCCACGCCCACCAAGATGGCCACCAATGGTTTGCGAGGGTGGCCACGCCCACCAAGATGGCCACCAGGGGAAATTAACATGGCCACGCCCACCAAGATGGCCGACAATGATCAGTCACCAAGATGGCGGACACGGTAAATTTGCATAACCACGCCCACAAACATGGCCACTGATTGCGGGGTGGCCACGCCCACCAACATGGCCACCAGGGGAAAGTTGCATAGCCACGCCCACAAAAAATGGCGGCCAGGGTAAATTTGCATAGCCACACCCACCCAAGATGGCGGCCAGGATAAATTTGCATAGCCACGCCCACCCAAGATGGCGGCCAGGATAAATTTGCATAGCCATGCCCACCCAAGATGGCGGCCAGGATAAATTAGCATAGCCACACCCACCCAAGATGGCAGCCAAGATACATTAGCATAGCCACGCCCCCAAAATGGCCGCCGATGCTTTTCGTGGGTGGCTACGCCCACCTGGAACCCTCATCGGTTAATTTGCATAAACCACACCCACCACATGTTAATTTGCATAGCCACGCCCACCTCCCCCTGCCGCCATTTTCCAAGATGGCCGCCGATGACGTCACCAGTTCGGTTTTTTCCCCTTTTCTCGCCCAAATTTTCGCGGATTTTTCCCGAATTTTTTTTGTTTTTCCGGGAATTTTCGGGTTTTTTCCCCCTCCGGAAATTTTTCCGGGATTTTTGCTTCGGTTCCATCCCAAAATTTTCTTGGGAATTTTTTTTTTGTTGTTGTTTCTGCTCCGAATCCTTAAAAATTCCAATTTTTCCAGAATTTTTTCCCGTTTTTTCCACAATTTTCCCAGGAATTTTTTTTTTATCCAAAATCCCTTCCTAAATTTTTGTTTTGGGGGGGAATTCCGCCCAAACTCCCCTTTTTTATTCCAAAAAAAACCCAAAATTCCCAAAAAAAAGAAAAAAACCCTCCCAAAACCCCAAAATATTCCCAATTTTTTTTCCATTTCCCCGTCAGATTTTCCCGTTTTTTCCCGATTTTCTCCCAAATTCCAAAACTTTTCCCTCTGGGAATTCCCCCCCCTTTGGGGATTTTCCCAAAACCTCCCAAAATTCCCGTTTTTCCGCCCATTCCCGACTCACCTTGATCGGGAAAAAAATGGGAAACCAGGAGAACAATCCCGGCGAATGCGTCTCGGGTCGGATGCCTGCGAATTCCCAAAAAATCCCCAAAATTCCTCAGATTGGCCCAACTTTTTCCCAGATTTTTCCCCAATTTTTTCCCAAATTTTCCCCCAATTTTCCCATTTTTTCCCCAATTTTTCCCGTTTTTCCCCAATTTTTTCCCACATTTTTTCCTATTTTTCCCCAATTTCTC